CCACAGCCCACCACCCATCATCCTTCCTGTGTTTCCCATCACACCCCCGTCAAGGAGCCTCAGACTGCGTGGCTCACCCCTGAGTGCAGCGGGCTGTGGTCAGCACCCACTGGGGGTGGATGAGGGAGCCCCCACACAGGTGCTGCCACAGCTTCAGCTCCTTATTGTACCGTCGCACGCTGACCTGCCAAGGCCATCTGCCAGCCGGGGCATTGTGCGCACCCACGGTGCCACCCGGCCGCCTCCCTGAGCCAGGACCTGGGAACAAAGGAGACAAGGGATGCCATCTTAGACCCCAGCAGGGCCCCTCACACTAAGTCTCCCAGGACGAACCAAGGAGTCCCACCTGAGTTGATGCTGAGGGACGGCGGCAGCCTGAGCAGAAGATGGGGACAGGGAGTGAGGACTCACCTGGCAACAAGGCCACGGAGCCCCCCAGGCCTGGGAGGCTCAGGAACAGCAGCCACAGCATCAGATGGCAGGGGCCTGGCTGAGACCACCAAGGGCAGGGGTCCTGTGTGTGGATGGAGAAGCAGGGGTGCAGGCAGGATCATCCTCACCTTGAGGGACCCTACATCAGACCCTCTTGTATCCCTTCATCCCCTGCACAGAAAGGGCCAGGTGTGGGCCCCCTGGCTGGGCCATAGGCAGAGAGAGCTTCCCCTTTCTCAGACCCTTCCCAGGTCGAGGGGTCAGTCAGCAGGCATCAAGGAGCTGCTGCTGGGCCCTGGTGCTGCCACTGCCACACCTGCCCCCTGGCTTTCACTGGGTAGCAGCCCCCTCTGGCTGCAGGGATCTTAGCAACAAACACAGCCAGGCAGAGGCATGAGCAAGGAGAGCATGCCAAGAGGAGCAGGTTTGCTGGCAGAAGTCCGGGAGCACTGGGTCAAGGCAGGCGGTCCAGGCGGGCAGAGCCCCAGAGCTGCTGCTGGGCCCCTTGAGCCATGGTGCAGCCCCTGAATTCCCTGAGCCCTGTGAGGCAGCCTGGAGCGTGCCATCTAACTATAATAGAGCATGCCCTCTGACTGGCACGTGGCCTGTGGCCACCCTCACTGCCCCAGCAGAGGCCTCGCACACTGCCCTCTGCTGGGAGCTCTTGGGAACTGCACCGAGACAGGCTTTCCTGGAGACACATCAGAGAGAGGCACCTGGGAGGCAGGAGGACAGAGCAGAACTGGGCAGAGGGTGAGGCTGGAGCACAATGCAGGCTGATGCCCCCTTGACCAGTCCACGGGAGACCCAGGTGTGCCCCACACAGGACACAAGCCCAGCCCCTGCCTCTTCCTGCACAGCCAAGCAGGACTGATGGGGCGAGGCAGCCAGAGGAGCTGTCAGGCCTCCCAGCAGCTGCCATCAAGTCCCGCCCTGAGGGAACCTGGCCCGCCTGCCTCTGTGACCAGCAGCGCCCACCGCCTTCTGCCTTGTGTGCTGAGGAGGCGGCCACAGGACCACCCAGGAGTCCCTGCCCAAGAACCTGGGAAGGAGAGGCTCAGGGCACAGTTGAGGCCAACAGGCCCCTCACTCTCCACTGAGACCCCCATCCATTGCTCCCAAATGGGACTCCGGGGCTCACATGGAAGCAGGACCCAGGCCCCCATCACTGAGGAGCTGAGCTCTGGGCACAGGGACTTCTCAGGCCGGGGGGCCGCATGAGTCCATCTGCCATCACATGGACAAGAGGGCACCAAGGAACACCCAGGGCCATCCCCGTCCCTGCTCCCCATTGTGACACAGCAGGCCTGCCTCTGCCTTGCTGTCAGTGTCATTGTCTCCACCAATATGGCGGCATGATTGGCTCCCAGGCCCCAGACACAGGAGCTCCATGTGTCCAGACACCAGCTGTACCTCCATCTCAGGAACATTCCTCAGGGCTGGCTGAATGGCCCATCACCAATACATTTACCGCCATCGTGTCTGCTGCTCCTGACTCCAGTGCAGCCTGGACCTGCAGCGGCACCCTGTCCAGCACTGGGAGCGCTCAGAGCCACAGCCTCTGTGTGGCCGGTGTCCCGGGCTGGAGGGCACTGGGAGGTGTGGAGCTCATTGCTTCTTCCCCTGAGAGGTGCAGAGGCCTTCACAGCCTGTGGTTGGATGGGGTGCCCCTGGGTGCTGGGTCCAAAAGCTTTCCTGTGCCAGCCCCTGGCCTCCTCAGGGGGCTCCCCCTTGGGAGCACACAGCCTGGTGGCCTAGAACCTCACCAAAGAGGTAGGTCAGGGTGGACCAGTATGGTCCCTCACACTTGACCTCACTGCGAAATAGATGCTGAGGGAACTGGGGCACATGAGGTCAGAGTGGAGGAGGGGAGGCCCTAAACCAGTGCTGGGTGCCCTTGTAGGAAGAAGGGAGGATGTGGAGAGACACAGGGAGTGGTAGGATGGGGAGGGGGGGGACGTCCAGTGGTTCCTTCCCAAGCCAAGGGTCCCGGCACCACCAGAAATGGAGGAGACAGGAGCCTGGGGAAGGTGTGGCCCCAGAACAAGTTGGTTGAGGGCTTCTGGCCTCTAGCCAGTGAGAGAATGAATTTGTGTTGTTTAAGCGCACGCGCACACACACTCACACACACACCAGTCCTTGGCTTTCACTGCCACTCCAGGACACCACAGGTGGGCGAGCCTGGCAGTGACTGAGGTGTGACTTCCACAGGGAAAGACATGGCCCTGCATGGCATCTCCTTTCCAAGCCTGAGGGTGTCTCCTATTACCTCAGACAAGGGTAAGAGGCCAACGCCCTCCCCAGTGTCCCCCTGGGCACTGACCTGGCTGCAGGGTCTCTTTTGGAAGACACAGCCCTGCTGGCTCAGTGTCCCCACCTTATCTGGCCCAGGACTCAGAACAGATTTCAGAGACCAGAGGTAATGCATCTCCTATCCATCTCCAGCCCAGGCATCTGGCTCCTCCCATTTTGACTTACTGCTCAGCCCAGGAAGCTGCGTGCTCAGGTGGTGATTCCAAGCAAGTAGGGGGAGAGGGATATTGTCCTGAGCCCATCCTCCTGAGAGACAGCCCAGTAGGGCCACCCGTGGCTATACCTGCAGACATGGCTCCAGGCCCAGGTGTGTATCACTCCAGTCTTCCCTCCACACCAAGTCCCATGTCCTCTCCCTCCTGGGAGCACTGGCCTCTAGTCACTCACCCTCATTCTTAACCCGGGAAACACTGAGGTCTGACTACACCCACCCCCATGGGGAAGCCCTACAGAGTCACATCCCCCAGCGCCCATGGCACTGCAGGCAGCCCACACCCCTCCTGGTGGGCAGAGGGGACCTGGATGCGTGTAGACATCCTGGAAGCACCCATCCACAGGCCCATGGACAGAGCAGTCACTTAGGCAGAAAGTGTGCTGGAACCCGAGGGCCAGGGCACAGAACCAGGCTGAGATGGCTCAGCCCTCCTCGCTCCCTGAGTGGAGGAGATCCCCAGGGGGGCCATCTCAAGGTGGTGCCTTCCAGTGGAGTACCGGGCCTCATTTTCCCAGAAAAAAAGGAGTTCCTGGAGAGCTCCTGACACCCAGGAAACCCAGACTTCAGTCCGGGTACATGGGGCACGCAGCTCCCACTCTCCCTAACTGGAGGGCAGCCCTCCCCAAAGGACCGGGTCACAGGAAGAGAGCAGGGCTTATCCACCCTCGCCTCACTGTGCAGGGACCTCGAATGCTCCACCACATTTTAGAATCAGGCCTGTGGCTGCGGAGAATGGAGCCCCCTCACCCATCATACAGGCCGCCTCAGGCTCCCCAGGCTCTCCTTGGTCCTGGCTCCAACCTGCAGGTGCAGGCACCCACCCCAGCCAGGCACCAGCCATGCCCCCCCAAATCCTAACCCAGCAGGAACTGCACATCACTGCCTGGGGCAGGAGGGGCTCCACAGCCCCTTCTCACTCCTCCATCTGAGACAGAAGCTCCTCTGTCCACTGGGAGCCCCTCCTACCCCCTGGGAGAAAGGATGGGCTTTGAGGAGCCTGAGAGGAGGGTGCACTGCGATGCTTCTCCAGCAGGGGCGCCAGCGCTGGGAGAGCAGCAGCCTCTGGGAGGATGGGGTCCACCTCTCCATCCTCCTCTCTGGCAGCCTCCAACCAACACAAACCAGGACACTAAGCGAGGCTGAGGACAGGGGCAGGGAAGCGTAACTGGGCTTGTTCCTGGCCCCTGCCGGTTCTCCTGGCTCAGGAGAAGCTCAGAATGGGAGACTTGGGTTCTGCATACAAGTGGGACTGGACTTCATTAAGTCCAATGAGATGATCGAATTGGAAAATGAAGATTTGGCAGCCGCCGGCTCAGACAGAGCAGTGGTGACCATGGAAAACAACGCTTCCTGTTTGTATGCTGCCAAGTCCAAGTCCTTCAAAGCAGCCATTCCACACTGACCAGGATGGAAGGAGGAAGAGGGAAGGTGTGGGACGCTCTGGGAGCCGCCCCCTGGGCTGTGGTCTCCAGCCCCAGGCAGAACACTCCTCCTCCCCAGCCGAGAGAGTCCACCCATGTGGCCCTCTTCCACGCTGCAGCCATACTTGCCCATCCCCACCTGGTCCACCTTCCACAGCCTGGTTCCCCACCAGGACGGACCACCCATGGCACCCTGGCACCGCCCACAGGTAAGTACACTCAATCCAGAGCAGTGTGCATGCAGTTTAATGAGCTACAGAGGGTGGGAGGAGGCAGGAGGCCTGCAGTGCCACGCCTGACCTCAGACCACAGCCCTCCTCTCCATTTGGCCTGTCAGGGGTCACAGACTGATGGAGGTGGCAGAGGCTGGAGGATCTCAGAGGGGCTGGGGGTGGAGGAGGGTGCTAGGTGCAGTGAAGAGCTGGCATTGGGAAGGAGCAGTGAGGTCCTCAGACACCATGGAGAGCCTGTCTTCATCTCACATGGGCAGCATCCTCGCCAGGCCCCGGCTCAAGGAGAGGAGTGAATATGATGGTGGATCCAAGGCAAGTAGGATGTCACTCGGACATAGACTGCAGGTTTTCGGAAAAGACCGCACGTTTGCCCCCAACTCACCACCCCTACCTGGACCCAGGTGTTCCTCCATTTACAGACCAAGGGGCCCCCAGAGTCGCCCTGCAAGAAGAAGAGACAGGTGGTCAATACTCAGGTCCCTGCAGGCAGGAGCAATGGACGGAGGCCACAGCCTGGGGGGTCTCACCTCGCAGGCGTTCTGGCCCAAGCTCCCTGCACACAGCATGTCGTCCTTTATAAATTGGCCATATTGCTGCCTACAGATCTCATCTGCCACGATGGGTACCTCCACTTCCTGCAGATTGTATGGCCACGGCAGCAGCTCTGTGAGAAGAAGCCCAGTGAGCCTGCTGTCCTGAGGGGGCGTCCAGTCACAGGCCACCGGTTCTAGAACCTCACGCTGAATCTCAGCACCCCCAGGGGGACCCAGGGTGTCACACAAAACCCAACTCTCCAGGTTATTTCCAGGCCAGGGGGCTGATAATATCATGGCTGGCACTGGCGGCACCAAGATCCAAAAAGAAACAGAAATATATTATCCACAAATAATTTTTATTGGGAAAAATCAGAGCAACTGCTTTCCCACGAGAAATGCAGAGTGAGCGGCCCTCTTGTCAGATTTGACTTTTTCCATTTAACAGTGAATCCTGGAGCAGGTCACTGGAGTTCTCTCTCCTTCTCTCGATCCCACTAGGAAGACTCAGGGAGAATGGGACCCCGGAAGGGAGCACACAGGCCTAGTGCAGAGTGAGGGAAACAAATGCCCCTGGTACCCTGGCTGGTGTTCTCAGTGGTTAGAGCACTGGCCCAAAGGTCCCACGTCTGATTCTTGGTCAAGGGCAAGGACTTGGTGTGTAGGTTCAATCCCCAGCCCCAGTCAGGAAGGCAATTATAGATATGTCTCTCACATCCATGTTTCTCTCTCCCCCTCCCTTTCACTCTCTCTAAAAATCAATGGAAAAATATCCTTGGATGATAATTAAAAAAAGAAAATGCCCATGTCCATGCCTCCCTCTTGCTACTTTGGTCCCTGCTCCTGAACAGACTCCTCTCAGGCTGTGTGCCCCCTACACCCAAGAGAGATCCCAGAGGAACCCCAGCTGCAGCCTCCTCGGTAAAGCCTGCCCTTCTCCCACCCACCTCAATGCATCACCCTCAGTCTCCTCCTCCCACTCATTCTGGTTCTTACCTTCAGGACCAATCCTGCCCCAGCCAGTCACCCAGCATGGGGTTCCTGGGGGGAATGCAGCGGAGGGTGGCTGGAGTCTGATCCACTTGACAAGGTTAGATGGTCGCACTGGGGACCCCAGTTTGAGAAGCGCCACGTCCGCCCCACCTAGTGCTCCCTCTTCAATCCTGTACTCTGGGTGGCGGATGATCCTAGCCACCGGCACACTGTCACTCAATGAGGGTCTCACTCCTCCTAGTTGGACCTTGAAGTGCTGAGGGTCGGGGTTTTCCCTGGGGACAGAGGCCAAAGGCTTCTGAGAGGCTGTGGCAGGAAGTGTGCCACCCCTCAGAACCCAGAGACCTCCCCTCTGTGGTGGGCAAGGGAAGTTCAGGGAAGCTGAATCCTGGTGGGGGGTCTGCACCAACTCAGCCCAGGATCTGCCCACAATACACATCACATGCCTCCTGATATTATCCCCCACCCTTTCCCCGGGGTGCTGGCAGAGAAGGGACTTACTCTGGAATGCAGTGAGCAGCAGTCAGCACCCACTGGGGGTGGATGAGGGAGCCCCCACAAAAGGGATGATTCGGGTCCTGTTTTTCATACGGGTACCACCACACGCCCACCTGCCATGGCCACGCTCTATTGGAAGCATCATGTCCCCCAATAACGCCCAGTAGCTCAGTCCCTGGGCCAGGATCTGGGGAAGCAGAGGACGAGCCATCAGGGACCCAGGCACCTCTGCCCTGCACTCAACATTGCCCCATCCTCAATCCCTCCCACAGCCACCTTCAGGGGGATCTCCACCCCATCCCAGGGGCAGCCACTGAGAGGTCAGAGTCAAGGGATCAGAGACAAGCCAGGCCTAGGGGTCAGCACCCACCTGAGGTCACAGGTACGGAGCCCCTCAGACAGGGGAGAGTCAGAAGCAGCAGCCACAGCATCTGCAGGGAGAGGGGAGGGAAAGGAGAGAGTCAGTGAGGAGATCTAGGGCATGGACCTGGGAATGGAGAGGATGGGGCTTTGAGCAGCATCCTCACCATGCCTGGCCTCTCTGCCTTCTACTGCTGGGTCCCTCTGAGCCCCTTTATGCTCCTGCCCAGACTGGCCCAAGGGGAAGCCGCCCTCTTTGGGGTGGGGCATGGGAAGAGGTGGGGCTTATCCCTCCAGTGGGACCAGAGGTGACCAGCAGACCAGCTATCAGATAAAGAATATGGTGTTTCCTCTCTGAGAAGACACTCAGCAATGGTGCTGGAGCCCTCGCTGGTTTGGCTCAGTGGATAGATAATCAGCCTGCGGACTGAAGGGTCCCGTTTGTGATTCTGGTCAAGGGCACCTACCTTGGTTGCAGGTTCCCCAGCTTTGGTCAGGGTTCATGTAGGAGACAAACGATGTGTCTCTCCACTTTGCTGTTTCTCTCAGTCTCTGCCTCTCCCACTCTCTCAAAAAATCAATGGAAAAATATCCTCAGGTGACGATTCACAAAAAAAATAAAAACAGTAATATTATTGGTACTGGAGATATTTCAGTAGTAAGATGACAGTGTGCATGTGAAGAAGAAATGAGATGCTTTGCATCATCCTGTACACTGAAGGGTCTCAGGTTCCATTCTCAGTCCGGCCAGATACCTAGGTTGAGAATTCATTCATAGGTCGGGACCCGTACAATAGGCAACCGATCAATGCTTCTCACACCTCTCTATCCCTTCCTCTCCCTAAAATCGATAAGCCTATCCTCAGGAGAGGAACTAAATAAATAATAAATAAGACAGATGCTCTGAAACAAAACAGAGCAGGGGCACAGATGGGGTGGGGGCCTGGTACCTGAGCCAAGAGGGGGGTGAAGGACAAGAGCAGGCCCAGTCTCGCCTGCCCCCTATTTTTTTTGAGGCTCCCAGTGCCCCCCACAAAGGACAGACTGGCTGGACCTGCAGACAGAGATGGCCAGCAGCACCATGAGATGGAGGAGGCCCTGGAGCCTTTGGAGGGAAGGGTGACCTCCTGGCATCTTGATGGTAGACTTCCAGCCTCCAACACTGGGACAAAATAAGGTTTTGTTTAAAGGCCTGAGTCTGTGGCATTTGTTATGGCTGCCCCAAGACACTCAGGCATCTGCTCAGCTGTCCTCATCCGTCCTTTGCATGATCAAGCTTTGTCAAAATGCAGGCAAAGGGTGTGAGAGGTGCCGATTTACTGCTAGTACTCCTCACCTCTCCTCACGTCCTGCACACGACCTGTACCCGCACAGCGCTGGGAGCCAACCTCTCCTCTCACCCTCCCTGCTTTCTGCATGTAGGAGCTCTGTCCCCCAAGTCCAACCCCAAGATGAGACCAGCCACCCGCCAGGCACAGGCTTTTCCTCCCTTTGACATTCTGAGAATCATTCTCCACCAAGCATGGGATAGGACCAGACAATGCTCTGAGAGGAGAAGGAAGAGGGGTTCCCACACTCCTGAACCACTCCAGGTCCTCTCTCCCCTGTGAGCCCAGCGAGGAGACTACTGAGGGATGCTTTTTAACACTTAGGTGAGCTCAGGTCTCTAGAAACCCATCATTCCCTCCTAGGCCAGAGTCCCTGTTACCCTTGGTGAGATACTGGTGTGTCCGGAGGCACCCAGAATCAGAATCCTCAGGAGACACTGAGGATCTCCACAAGAAAAAAAATAGGTTCCAACATGGCCAGGGGCCCCAAGGTCGGGGGATTGAGCACCCAGGAGGGAACGGGCTGGGCTCACAGACACAGCAGGTCATTCAGGCATGGGGGGGGGGGGAACCTTGGGTGATAAGGAGTGGGCTTCCCCCCTCCCAGCCAGTGGTCTGATCAGAGCCTCGACTTTTACCCACCTCAACAGTGGTTGTGGTTTGGGGCTGGTTCCCAGGCCCAGATGGCAGGAAGGCAAGTCTCAAAGGGATCAGCGAGAAGCCACAGGCCCCAGCGCCCAGCCTGATGCTGGACGCAGACTTCCCACCCCCCGGCACCAGGTTGGGCGATAACCAGCTGGGCCAGACCTGGGACAAAGACAGCATTGGATCAGCTCGAGCAGATCTGCCCAAAACACAAACAAGAGGCTTGAGGGTCTTGGGAGGGAATCACGTGACTATCATTGGCAGATAATATGATGATCTTCTCAGAAAAGCCAAAGCCTCACCTGAGAAGGTTCCCAAGGTGTCTGCATGCAAGATAAATGTTTTAAACACAAATCAGGAGAGAAAGAAGCAGAAACTCATCTGTTACTCTCAATGGTAACTAATGGGAAGCCATGATGGTGAACACTTCATTCTCAGCCAGGTCCTTCCATTCTAATCCAGAGTCCGTGTCACCCACCAGCTTCCTTACAAGGAAACTCACACAAAATAAAATGTCATTCAAGGTTAAATGAATGTTAAAAAGAGAACGTGTCATCAAATATTAACTCTTCAAATACCATAGAAGGTGAACTGCAGGCAAGTCTGGAACATTCAACGTGACCCCCAAGTGTGTCTGGGGGAAAAGACTGGTAGGGATGTCCCAGGAAGCCACAGGGCAGAAGGAGGCAAACTAGGCAGCTGGTGCCAGATGCTGTGCAAATGGGAACCCAGTGGCCGCCCAGTGAAGTGGGGAGCCTGAATGGCCCTGCCGACCTGCCCATCCTTCTAGGCCCAGCCTAGGTGACAGCACAGCAGCAGACAAAGGCACAGTATCAACTCAGAGCAAAGAAGGAGGACCCAGCATCAGTGATGGCCTCTGGGAATAGATGGAGGGGAGGAAAAAGAGGGACTTGGGGGGAAGTGCAGCCCACTGCTCTGGAGCTTGGTGTGAAGCCCCTCGCTGTGCAGGACACATGGAGGTAGGGCCACCTTGACCTTGAGGGGCCCAGGCAACTCAGATCTTGGCAGGGGCTGGAGAGGGTCACCCCTCACAGAGGAAGATGGTGAGAGCCATGAGACTGGGAACATGGACCCAGACCGTCCTCTCCCTCCTGTCATTGGGGTCTCCCCGGGAGAAGGGGGAGTGATCCAATAATAGAGAACCTTTGGTCCCAGCAAAACAGAGGACTGGCATCTGGGAAGCCCAGTTTTCTGCCCAGTCACCTTAGAACAGAATCAAATAGTTCACCAGTGAGCCAGGGGCTCTTCTGCTCTGTGTGCAGCCTTTAGTGCTCAGTCCATAGCTGTAGGCTTGTTGAATCTACTTTAGAACCAACACTGAGCTCAGGATCCTCCTCCCCGAAAAGTCCCTACTCTGTGCCCCTGAAGTCAGCGCTGGCTTCCCATGGCCAGTCAGGCAGCAGCGTCCAGCTCTAAAGCCCCATCCCAGAGTTCCCTCCTCCGGTCACACCTGGCTCCAGTTGCTGTGGGCGGGGCTCCAAGAAGCCCACAATCAGAGGATCTGCAGCCTCTATACAGGAAACAGGGGTTAGAAAACGACCATCTAAAACTGAGATGCAGAAAAAAAGGTAACCTGGAACTTGGCAGGTGGCAGGAAGTGGAGGTGCCCTCAGTGTCTCTTATTGGGGACAGGGAGGCTCCATACTAACAAACAACAGGGCACAGGTGTGTGTTTCTGCGAGTGCCTTCTCCCATGTCCTGACATTCCCCCTAAACCCGTGACTGAGCAGCCACCACCTCCGTAGCATCTCCCTCCTGGACCAATGACATGAAAGCCAAGGGCAGAGGGCAGGAAGGAGGGGGCAGCAAGTGAGAGATTTCAATCAGTCTTTATGGGGCAGAAACAAGGGGTGGAGAGGCAGTGGCAAACAAATGCCTGCTGAAGGGGCTTGTTCCCATAGAGCCCCTCACACCACAGAGATGCTCAGGGTGTAGACGCCAACTCGCCCAAAGAGAAACCGAGCGGAAGACTTACAAAGCACAGTGCTCCCTGGAAACGTGTCCAGTGAAATCAACGAGGCACAGAGGTCACACAGTGTGGGCTTCTGTTTATGTGAACTTGTAACCGGGCAGCCAGTGGGTCTGGGCTGCCTGTCACTGCTTGAGCCCATTAAGCAGAGACAGGCTTGAATCATGTGGGAGCATTTATTCCAGTCCTGCTGGCAGGATGGGAGAGCAGCAGGTCAGCCAGAGAAATATGCTCTGTGGCCCACCATCAGCCACTGCTTCTATTGGGCAGAGAAACAGCGATGGCAAGGGGAAGCAGGAATGACAGGCATGGGGAAGTGGGCAGGGGGGCATCATTACAGGTTACACGTCATGCAGGCTGGAATGTCGGGGTCACTGAGGGTGGACGGCTCCGGGACCTCTGGACCAGATAACAGGTAATTGGGCTGGGGGTTGTACAGAGCGGAACTAGGTTATCTCAGTCACAAGGTTGGAAATCTCTCCGTTAATGATAGACAGTTCTCTGGACAGGAGGATGGACTGCATTCGGCTGCTACCTTCCATGTCCCAGGGCTCACAACTCCCAGCCAGGTGAGAATGTGCTTTGTCTCATCAGAAAAGAGCAACCTCGATTAACACGGCATGAGTAATATTTCTTAGAAGTATAGTGAACCAAATAATTTTTCTTTGATAAACATTAAAACAAATACAACTGTTGACATTTTCATGAGATTCACACAACCTGGATATTGGATATTATAACCTCATTGTTAGGATTTACTTATGTCAGACACTCCTTATTTTTAATTTATTAACATGTAAGAGGACTCATTTTAGAACCCTCTGATTCCCATTAAGAACACATATCTAAACTTTATAAAGAATTGTGTTCTTCTGGATCATGACCAAGAACCTTTGTCCAGAAAGCATCTTGATCTTGAAATGTTAAGCAGAATAAAAAGGGGCAGAGAAAACTTATTGTGCTTAGCCGTTATCTTGCAGAAAGCCTGCAGCTTTGAGCACGGCATAGCGTACAAAACCATTAAATCTGGTGATGGGAGGAACCAAGGACCGGACCCTTTCATCAGCAAAACTATTTACAGCCTGCAGAAATGAATAAAACTTTGCCT